TCATGAATCTGGATTTCTTCTGCATCAATTTTGAGACCGAGCCCCCCCCCCCTCCTGACCACCTCTGGAATTGCAATTGCATGAATTGCTTTCTTTCTGGTGGCTGGTGAAACCGAAACAAATTCTGCACTTGGCTCCTAACCAGTGCCTGGCAAAACCGGGAAATTCAATATTTCCTTTTCGGTGACTAGTCAAATCGGATCCATTTGTAGTAGCATGAGCAGTCACAATGTGATAGTAGTCTACATCGTTACAGGGTTAGCGAACACAAGCACTTTGATACATCTTTTTTTGTTCTTTGTCTCACCCTAGTATAGTTTTTGAAGCTATGATTGTAATGCTTCAACTTTTTGATTGTTATGTTTCTTGATATCCTTATAAATAATAATTAAGTTTTTTGTTTTATAAAATAAGTATCCCAAAGCAATTACTAAAAGTGTACGAAAATTAAATGTTGTACGTCTATGGGTTAATACGTTGGTAATTAAGTCATGCTCAATTAGATCGTTGGTACTGAGTAAATTTTTTTTGGGGGGAAATCACGTAATGACACTTGTCTGTTTGGATGGAGTGTTACGTTGAAAGGTGTTAATAATGGCATAATGCAAGTGTTGGGATGGGCCTGGAAAGGAAGAGAACTGTAACGGAAGTATTTTCAGTTAAAATGACAATCATGCCCTCATTTAAATCCTAAAAACAATATAAATTCGAAGCTCTCTAAATACATCCTTCTCAAAAGCTTCTCCCTAGATAGTACCCGTATATACTAAGTATATTTTGTTGATAAATTGATGTTGAGGTTAAGTCTCGTGGACCCGAAAGCCCAACACACGCTTTGGATATTAAGGATGTAGGTTTGGGTATAAAAGATGTATAAAATATAAAATAATGAATCAATTGAACTCAAGAGCTACACTTGTATTAAGCAATTCTGTAATTACAAGGCAACTACCTGAACGGTACGTCGGAATAGTGTTCAACACAAGAACAAGAGAGATAATTCTATTGCTAAGCTCTGAGTATCAAAATGCTAACCCCCTTACAATGTGTTCAATGCATGTATTTATACTAAAGAGGGGGTAGGTGGATGATGACGTGACTGAACCCGGTTGGCTGCTGCCTTTGCCGCCATGCCTCCGCTTGCTTCCGCCATACTTTAGCATTAAATGCGGTTGCCACTTGAGTGTGGCCCGGCCGGGTACCCCGTTCGGGGTCCGGACCCCATAAACGGATGTCTAAATGCTGGCACATTGCTAATTGCCCAAGTTAGACTATCAACCCGAATGCCGATCGAGAACTGTCTTGAATGAGTTATCTTGAATTCTCTGGACGCGTTGTGCTTGCTCTTTTCCTTGGGCTTCTATCTGTTTTGGGCCGGGTATGTTGGGCTTTGGCCCAATATCCCAAGTAGATAATGGTTCCAATGATTTAATAGCAGTATAAATTCTTCGTAGACAACCCACGTTTGTGCAATCGCATCATCCATGCTCTACATTCTTCAAAACCCCAAAACTACCCGGTTCATTATCATTTTTAGGGGTTTAATGCACCAAATCCCCATGTGAAATAAAAATTTGGCTCATTAGCCCCATGTGATTTAAAAATGCATTATACCCCCTTATGTTATACTCCGTAGTTATTAATGCGCAAAACTCCTTCAAAAATTTAATTGCCCACGTCTTTTTGGCAAAACGCGTCTAACCCCGTTTCAGTCATATACGTGATGAAACTCAATTCATCTTACCACTCCGGTTATGGTAGTACATACGAAGTAATATCTTAGTGGATAGATTGGGTGGTTTATTTTAGTTAATAAATTAGTTTGGTTCGAATAGGGAATGACTGATGAAGTGATGAGGGCTACGTTGGGGTTTGGTCTATGAACCGTTTTCAGGGAGGGGATGAGGTAGAACGGCAGTATCAAACTATCAATGGCAGTATTTGTCCAACGAAACACTCCAAAACACTTCAATTTGGAGTGTTAGAAAAGTCACTTATATGGCCAGTTTATGTATCAACTTTTGAAAGGAGTTGTTTTAACTACTTATGCTTTTTACGTTCCTTTTTTACAGTAGAAAAGTTAAATACATCTCTAAAAGTGCCCTACTATATAATCAAGCAAGTGACTAGAGGTCTAGAGTGAAACTATCTCATACTTTCACCATATTCTTGACTAGCTAGATTAAATTATCTCAGACTTTCAACACTATTGTATTATATCCTAATTTCTATGTATACTTTCTCCATTTTTAAATAAATGCAATAATCAACATTTCACATTTGTTGAAGCACAACTTTGACTATGAATATATTTAATTCTCTATCTTTAAAAATATTAAAAAAGTTAGATTTTGAAAATTTGAAATGAAACAAATTTAACAATACTTTTTTTCAAATTTTTTTTATTAAATTCATGAATAAAGAAAATGTAGTCAAAGTAGAACATGTAACTAGTGTAAAATTCAACATGTTGCAATTATTTAATAACGGAGGTAGTATTAGATTCTTATCTCAATAATTCGTTCTTTAATCCTCAATCTCACATTTTTTAGGGATTTCTCTTGGTTGACTAATGTTTGATACGAAGTATATTATTTCATTTCATAGGTTTTATATTGTTCTGTTGTGTTTTTCCGCTTGACTGCTTGACAAGAATGAAACTATTAGACTTTGATCCTTTTATTTTTTTATGGCTATTTCTTTGTTATGTTCTTCTATATTACGGATTATGGATTTGTTTTCTATTAATTTTCACAACATATGTTTGCTTGAAGGTTGAGAGATAAATAACTAAATAATTGATGCTTTGATGGGTTATAAGATACTTCGTATTTCAAATTAAGAATTTTCTATAGTTTGTTGACTTCATGCATATCATCTTTCTGTGAGCAGATTATGAGTAATTGGCTAAACAATTTTTACAGAATTGCAGTAGAAGGAGCTAATAATGGAAGACAGGTTGTAGTTATGTCAAAGGCCTAATGGAACATTTTTAAAGTTTGTGATATGCAACGTTGCCGGGTGACATGATTACCAGCCAGCTTTAACAAGTAGAGAGAAGTTAGTTTGGTTTAAACCTTGTGGTATGCGATTTTAAAAAAAAAGTTGCAAAAGATACATTCTCTAAGGCGGTCTTCAATGATTTGTAACATGTTTACTTCTTGAACTCCTAATTTATTATTAAAAATTTTGCAACTTGTAGAGTTTCTGAACACACTAAATAAGAATAGTTGAATAATATATTTAACTACAGTTAAGTCATAACTGGCCATATAGAACTTGAATTCAAAACAAAATCTAGTCATACAATGAAGTAATAACATAAGTTAACTTTTAAGTAAATTACAACTATTCAATAAATGTCAATAATACACAGCTGGAACAAATTTAGTGGCTGCTAAATATTCAGTTGAAACCAGATGAAACTAGAGGCCAAGGAAAAATGTCACTTCATTGTCTTCATCTGTTGGCATTTCCTCACAATGTTCATTGATCTAGCACATCAGAAAAAGAAAATTGGAATATCATTAATATTATGAGTAATATAAAAACTAATTTAAGCTATGACATTTTTTGAGGGGGATGAAAGGTAAAAGAATAAATGGCAAAAGTAAGACCCGAGAGTTTTGAGTGGACAAAAAAGGGAACATTTTTGTGAAAGACAAAAAAGGGACCAACAATGTACTACTCACCTGCGGACCAAATTAAATCAACAAAAAAGAGACCAACCCCCTCCCGATCTGTTTCTTTCTGCGAGCATGAGCCACGAAGGAATCACTCCTTAGCTTGTGTGACAGACGAAGGCGACAATGGAGGCAGGGATGCTGTAGTCGGCGAACACCAGCGATGTTGAAGGCCAGAGACGCAGGAGACGGCGACCACCTGTGACGTCGACGGCCATTGACGCCGACTATTACAGCCCGGAAGATTCCGACGGACCTTCGTCTTCCACATCCGAGCTTTGTCCTCCACCTGCAAACTATGTATTACACCTGCACGCTTCGTCCTCCCCAGACGCGATTCGTCTTCCACCCGCGCGCTTCATCCATCCGGCAACAAGATGGGCCAGATCTCAGTATCAATGACGAATTTGGTGGCTGGGGACAAACCTATTGTCCACGATCTAAGTTGAAATTGGGGAGGAGGCTAAGGAATTGGTACAGGGGGTTTAGAATTTGGGGGGAGGCTGAGAAGCAGGCTGGTCGGGGAGGGGAAGGGGGCTGTTGGGGGCTGGGGGAGAGTGCTGGAGGGGGTTGGGGGCTATTGGTGGCTGGGGGAGGGTACTGAAGGGCGGGCAGGGCTGCTGGTGGGTGGGGGAGGGGTGGGGGAAGATGCGGGGGATGGTGGTGGACACCTTCGGGCGGTGGCGGCAATCCCCCGTCAAACAACGGCAACGTTCAATGAGTATTTCATTGGTCTAGGTCATTAATCGGGTAATTGGTCACTAGTCGAACTGGTCACGGTTGTTTGTCGGGTTGGTCACTGATCATGGTCACTTGGTGGATTGGTCATGATCACTGGGTGGATTGGTCATAGTCACTGGTTAGATTGGTCATTGGTCGGGTTGGTAATGGTCATTGGTCGGGTTGGTCATGGTCACTGGTCGAATTGACCATGGTCATTGGTCGGGTTAATCACTGGTGGGATTGGTCATTGATAACTATAACTAGTCGGACTAGGTAACTGTAACTAGTCGGATCGGGTAACTGTAACTGGTCGGACCAAGTAACTGTAACTAATTGAATCGGGTAACTGTAACTGGTCGGACTAGGTAACTATAACTAATCGAATTGGGTAACTGTAACTGGTCGGATCAGATAAGTGTAACTGATTAGATCAGATAATTGTAACTGGTGAGATCAAGTAACTGTAATTGGATTGAGTTTAATAACTGTAACTAGTCAAATCAGGTAACTGGTCAGATCGGGTTACTGTAAATGGTCAAGCCATTGGCAGTTAGGTTATTGGGTTGTAGTAACTAAGATCGTTTTCACACAAATTATAGTGTCAAAAATTAAATATTTAATACACATATAATTCTATATCCAATTACATAATGTCTCTCTTGAGAAATGAGAAATAATTTTAAAATAAAAAAAGCATTAATGATTAGTTGAGTACATAATGCATTCTTATGGAATACAACAACATTAAGGCAACAACATTACGGAGTGTGTCTAAAGCTAAGCCGATGCATGGTTGAATATTTAAGGAGGGTAATTAAGGCTTAATCCCCTTTTTAGTCCCATTTTTGGAAAGTGAAAAAAAGGTCTCTTTTTAGTCCATAGCTCTTTTTTTAGTATTATTCTAGACATAACCCCAAGGTAAAATTAAATAAGCTGCCAGGAAATGTTAATAGACTAAAGCTTCTTGTGGCTATCAAGCATGAGCAAAATAGATTACAGCTTCTTGTCGCCAGTGCTGCACGAATACATCTGCCACCATATGAAAGGATCTTTTGTACCATATAATTAATAATCTTACAAAATTTACAACTCCAATTGAAACTTTTCACTGAGAAAAAACAGAGCAGAAGAAGAAGAAGAAGTACGTACAAATGAAATTGATGGGTGCAGTTCAGAAATCACATACAAACTGCTTTAGCTCTGAAAAAAATGTCATTCCTCGTCACTTCTTTTCCAACTAGAAGTAGTTCAATCAAACTGCCTTCTCCCCATTAGATTAAGTAAACTTCAAATATCCAGAATTCCAATTCCACAACTAACACAGTATGATAACAAGCTAAAATGGTTAAAAGAAAGAGGAACATATACTAAGCACTCACCATTAGGAAGCCTTCAAAATCGGTCTCATTCAGAACTGGCATGGATTCTCCAAACATATTCCTCAACTCATCTTCAAAATCGATCTCATTCAGGCTGCCCTGCGCCGCTCACGAGCAACAAGCATCATCGTTGAGGTCGTACTCCAATTACGTGGCAGTAGATTGCAGTTTCCAATTGACGGCCAGAGTTTACGGCCTTCGCGGAGGTGGAGCTGCACATGGTTGGAGTCTACAGGACGACAGCGATGGAAATTCCGCTCCTTATTAGCTGCTCGTAGTAAGATTACTTGCTGTCGTCGAGGTCAATGGTGTTTGCGGTAATTCAGCTAATAATCTGGCGTGCTTCTGTAGTATGCTGATGCCAAGTAATTGTAAAAAAACAATTTGACATCTCTACTATGCATTTTATACATAAGATTTTTATGAGAAAAAAAGAAGATAAGAATCTAATATACATGAGAGAAATCAAGATAGAATATAATAGTGTTGAAAGTCTGAGATAGTTTAATTTAGCTAGTCAAGAATATGCTGAAAGTGTGAGATAGTTTCACTCTAGTCATGAACCTGCTTGATTATATAGTATGGCAGTTTTAGATATGCATTTAACTTTTTCTTACTGTAAAAAAGGAGCACAAAAAACATTAGTTAAAAACTTAAAACAACTCCTTTCAAAAGCCGATAAATAAACTGGCCATATAACTATAACCCCTAAAAGGGAATAACCAAAGCTTTTTAGAATAAACAATCTTTATTTTATCTACACATAACATTAATTTGTTTTAACAATCAATTATTCGGTTGGTTGATTTGCCTATAAGTCTTTCACTTTTTCATGGTTGTGTGGTTGAATAACCATCCACACAAAATGTTATGTTTCCTATACAATTGTATTTATTTGCTCACCATTAAATCTCAACATGAAAAAGTAAAATGGTTTTGTTTGTTAGACTAAAATAGAATGTCCTGTCCACTCTTGACTTGAAGTAAGTTTGAGAACGTCATCCATTTGAGTTTAATTAGATTAGGCAGGGAAATGGGTGAATGAACAGTAAAATGTTATATTGGTTTTATGTATAAGGAGATTTGAAGCAATGAAGTGTACTTGTGTCTGAGAGTGAGACATACCACATCGGTCTACCCATCTAAGGCGCTTCCTTCCTCACCCAACATGCACCTATTTTATTAATATATTTTTAAAATCACCATTGATAAACGACTTTGAAAGTATGTTTCTTATCTAGATATGGAGGGATGTTCAAGCAACTAACTAAAGAAAAAAGAATAATAAGCTGACTACCTTCCCTTATAACAATAGCATGATTACGTATGTATGAAGTGTCATTCATTTAGACATTACAATCAACACAAGAAAACAGAACCAACTAACAATTACTTTATTAGATATGTTTGAATTAAAGTTCAGCCATGCCACCAAAATAAAAATAGTCATATCAATGTGCAGAAATGAAAAAGTTCTCGAATGAAATTTGATGTATCTGTGAACTTTGATGTGCCTATGTAAGTGGCAAACATAACAGTATATTTAATTAATATATTTAACAGTATATTTAACAGTATGTAAGTGGTAAACATAACAGTATAATTTTTTAGTTTAGAAAAAAAGCATAACAGTATATTTAATTAATTCTAAGAATATGGACCTAATGCATATAAACACAAATTGGCAGTAAGAATAGCTAACTAATTTGATATTAAAAGATAGAATAAACAATAGGTTAAGACCTTACAGATGTGAAATTGGCAATAGAGTAATACTTCGTATTAAACTATGACATGAACACGGGACAACTTTAAGTGTTTTACCAAACTCAAGTGAACATTAACAACTTTTTTCAGGAAAATGGGTGAATGACGACTGCATGAAACTAATAGAGATTTGCAATTATAAACACTATATAACTTTTTCAGAAAAAATAAACTACTCAAAGTTCAAACTTTTGAACCTTTAAGGGCACCCACTATGGGTGGTCAATGGGGATCACAAAAACAACTTGATCCCTCTTGATCCCCACTATGGGAGGTTATGAAATGACGGATCAACATGCAAGGTTAAGAATGGGAGCTACAAGCTTATTTGTGACTAACCATTTAGAGAAAGCCAAGTAGCCTTTTACTTTGAACTCACCCCATTAACTACCCCCAACTCCCTAATTTCATTTATTATGCATTAAATTTAATTTATAATAATAAAAAAATTATATAAAAAAATTAGATTTTTTTCCCTCTATACATAGACATCAATGAAAGATATGTTTAGTTACTTCGAAATTTATCATTGCTTTCCTTCTTGCATCTTATTTTATCCATTTTAGAAGATCTTTTCCTCTGAATTAAGGATATGTAACAATTTTTTAAAAATATGCTTATTTTATTTTTTTCACTAAATAATATAGTGGATCAAATGTGGATTTTATACGAAGTATTCCTTTTTTCAAATTAAATAAATTAATAATGGTGGAATATGTCAAAATAAGGAGAGAGGATGTAAAATTTTTAAGTGACCTAGGTCACCATAGTGGGGAAAAATAGGATAGGTTGAAGGGGATTAAGTTTTTGGAGGGAAATGATGTGGAAGAGAGAGGAGGAGATCAAATGCCATTGACATTGTGGATGCTCTAATTGTTATGAGTATTTATTCAGCTTCATAAATTCCAAAGTGGTCCTCGTATGCAATTATGTTATATTTTAGACGTAATAGCAACACCACACACCATTAAGATTATCTCCAAATCTTAACATAGAAAGATAACCCAAGATTGCTCCCTAGAACATGAGCAATCGGAAGTCAGAACACAAAGCAGCTTCGGGAAATACGTTTATTTGTAAATTATATTTCCAATCAAACTAAATCAAATCAAAGTTATGTAAAATAACACTTGAAACTCACAAAGGAAGAAAATAAACAATAAATGGATCTGTAAACTTACCTCCCTGCTCTCTATCACAGGCAGATCTGAAACTGCTCACCCTGACGATTTCCAGAGCTGTAATGAAAGAACCCCCAATCTGAAAGAAGAAAATAGATCCTACATGAAAGGGGATGCAATCGAGTATGGAAGTGAAAGTATAGGAAGAGAAAAGAAAGAATGAAGAAAAGAAAGAATGAAGAAAATGAGTACATTTGTCCAAACCAAATGTCTATATATTATCGCAAATTATATCCTGCGACCGGCGCACCATGAGGATGGTGTGTCCGGTCGCAAAATGACACCGTTTCATATTAAAAATTGCAATTTTTTTATTTCCTTCTGCTACTTCGCATTTCGTCTCTTTCGCCCCTTCATCTCTTTCACACGAACAATTTTGAGGAGTTCAACGGAGGCCATGGCTGGACCGTGCAACTGACAGAGAAGGCTGGGAATTCAAAGGAGATACCTGGGACCGATCCGGATCTAGCCATCTCGCGACGGGAGGGTTTCCATCAGAGATGCACGCAGGGCTTCAAAACGAGTGAAGAACCCTCGTGACCTGCCTTCCCAAGGATTCCGGCCAGTCTGCAATCACTTTGTGGCCAAAGGAGTTGAAGGCAGTCTCCATCAGAGAGCACCAGGGACATACTTTGAGTTGAATCCAGGCCTGCACGCCCTTCAATTCTGCGGCCAAACGAGTTATCTTCTCCAAGCCCCTGCCGCTGACCAAAAACTGAGGCAAATAAAATCACCTGCAATTAAATCCCAGCCCCTCACTAAAGAAGTTACATCTTTATTAAAAGGATTTACATTTCCATGTACCTCAAGTTACTTATCTATTAAAGTAAATTACATTTCAATTTTTTTGAATGAGTTACATTTTGCTTACACGTGATTTACATCTATCATAATACGAATTACATTTATTGAAGCACGAGTTACACCGACCTTTGCTGAGATTATAAAAAAAAACCTTGGGAGCAGCATGCTCAAGGTGAGCCGCTCCCACGGTATACGAAATCATATATTATGAAGTAATAAGAGGAGCGATCCGAAATGTCTTCCCATTCAAGTTTGACTTTTTTGGGTTTACAGCCAGCACCTATTTACACTACATATATTATTACCCATTCAACAAAATTGGCTACATATTCAATATTCAAGAGTTCGACTTCTAAATGCAAAACATATTAATTTCTTAGACAGATTGTATAAGAAAACTCACATGTACAAGTGTACAACTGATGTGTCTGAACAAATTAGTCAAAAATACGGTCTACGGCTTCTTTTATCCATATAATAGGGATTTGTTCAAATTTTACAAGCCGCAAATTTTTATGGTGAATTATATTAGGATGTGTTCAGCATATCCAGCAATATTTGAATACATTACCTATTAAATTACGGAGTACGTCTGGAGTGAATGCTAACCTTCGTTTGGAAGATCTTCTACTGCATTTTAGAACTCGCAAAATCAGTCAATCGTCACAAATTTCATTTATCTTTTGTTTTTTCTTCTTTTATTTCAGGGGTTAATTGAATCATTATTGTCATTTGATTTGAATCTTATGGTAATCTGACCTTGTTTTGTATTTGTGAGTGATTTGACAAATTGCTACCAATGGAACCAATCCCCCTGTGGAGCCTTCACCTTTGAAAAAGGCCAAATATTTCCAGGTGGAACATCAGTACATCACCGTATAATATATACGGAGTATAATCTATAAAAGAAGAAGAAAACATTAGAGGAGGCTAAAGAAGGCTAATAATAACACCTGAGATCCATTGAAATTATTGCATTACATTCTTGAAGCAACATTGCTGGGGCAGTTGTGACCATTTCTACCCCTTATCACTAATAGATCCATAGATAATGTTTTTCTCTCCTTGAAGTAATCAAATTTACTGATACTAATCAATTCCTTGAACATCATCCATATATCTATAACAGAAGGAAAACATTAGAGGAGGCTAGAGAAGCAAAAAAAACAGCAACTGAATTGTTCTACATTTCTCAAGGAAAAAGTATTAATGTGTCCTCATGTGTGTAGACATACCAGCTAATAATAAGCCTTTTTATCTCAGCCAAATGAGTAAGGGATTCAAAATCACGTGAGAATAAGTCCAGTCCACTGCAATCATTTTTTAGAAATTAAAAACAACTTAAAATCACAATTGCTGGTAGTCTAATAAAGAATAATGTAGCAATTCAATTCATTATTAACTAATAATTATATTTCTAATCAAACTAAATAATAAAAGTTTCTACTGAATCTTGTTCTACACTTTGAAGCTTAAAGAGTCCTAGACTCCTAGTAAACTGAGGTGCTATAGGACAAAGTTTATACTTACCTTAGGAATATCACAAGTAAATCTGATTATCAGTATAGAAATATCTGAAAAGAGGATACTGGGATAGTTCTTAAGAGCAGCTAATTAGTAATTTTATATAAGAAGACATAAAAGTTGTTATCATTATTCTTAGTTAGTGTATTTTCTATCTACTTCATTCCTTCTTATTAAATTACCGAACTACTCCCTATTAGACCACCAATAATGTGATCTTAACAATGAGCAGATGTTGACATCATCAAGCAGAGTCTGGCATGCTCTCTACTTCTTTAATAATATATGGTAGTAAAGTCATATTCATCAACACCACATGCCTAAATATTATACAATGTTTCTAAAGTCTAGACACCCGTACTTTAATCAATCTAGCCCAACAAACTATAGTTTTGAAGTCACCCTTACATCCTAAAAACTAATGAAATAAGGTGTGACATAGTGCAGTTCTATTTTTTAATTTGTACTTCTCTATAGTTTTTATGTGCACTTTTGTGATAAAATACAGTTATGTCCTAAAAATACATGTTTTGGAAAAAATGTGTTTGAACTATTGACTTAGGTACCCATGTGGCCATACCCCTTAAGGGTGGAAGGTTAAATTTCAAACCCATTTAACCATTCTCCATACATCCAATTGCTTACAAGTTACAACTAGGGCTGGGTCCAGAAAACCGAAAACCGAAAACCGAATCAAATTAAACCGAACCGCGACCAAATAAAACCGAACCGCTAAAAACCGAAACCGAATGTAAAAAACCGAACCAAACCGTTGTCGTTTGGTTCAGTTTTGGTTTTTACCCTTCAAAACCGAACCGAACCGAACAAACCGAACTAATTAAAATATGAAATTTTATTTGTTAATTTTTAATCATTAATCCTAATATCATCAATAGTCTTTGATTTTTTTGTGCTACAGAAATAATGTTTATGTTATGTTTAGTTTATAAATGCATTTACTCATTCATTTTCCCATAATAATGTAGCTATATTGACCAATTATGTCTTTTATGTATGTATGTATGTTGCAATTTGTTGCATGATTATTAATTTTAAAGGTTATTAGTAGTAATTAAATTATATTTTTATGTAACTTACATTTTTTACATTGATAAAACAAATAAATATTCATCTCAGCTATATCACATATGATGTCTATATTCATGAACACTTTTCAAACTAGTCACAAACAATGTAAATTAGGAATATATACACTTATATCTCTCATGCATACTCATAAAAATCAAGACATGTTTTTTTATTCTTATTTTTACTTCATTTATTCTAGTATGCTTGTATTTTTTATGTAATATGTTTGATCCCTCCAACTATTATATCAATTTTAAATCAAATGACAAATTTTTGGTAAAAAACCGAAAGAACCGAAACCGAACCGAAACAAACCGAACCAATTAAACCGTGGTTCCGAGTTTTGGAGTGTAAAACCGAACCGAAACCGAACCGAACTTTTAGTTTGGTTCCGTATTTGGTTTTAGGTAAAAACCGAACCGAAAGAACCGAACACACCCCTAGTTACAACCATGTAATGTTAGTTTCAACTTTGATATTTTCCTTACAAATGGTGTTTCAAATAAATCAAACACATAAAATAATATTGGCTAAAGGTTCAAATAGGTACATGAACTAACTTAAAGTGTTCAATTAGCCCCTAATATAGGAGGTTCTGCCTGGCCGTCGCCAATTGGGGCGGTTCCCGTTAGACTTTTTTGATGAAATTTTTGAACATCTTCTTCATTAAGTCTAGTTTACCCATATCAAATTTCAGTTAAAAATTCAACCGGGAAGGCAGTCAAATGATTTTTTGAAGATAACTGCGCAGTTAAACAGCGCAGTACATTTCGGAAAATCATTTGACTGTCTTCCCGATTTAATTTTTAGCTGAAATTTGATATGGGTAAACTAGACTTAATGAAGAAGATGCTCAAAATATTTCATCAAAAAACTCCACCGGGAACCGCCCCAATTGGCGACGGCCGGGCAGAACCTCCTATATAAGGGGCTAATTGAACACTTTAAGTTAGTTCATGTACCTATTTGACCCTTTAGCCAATAATATTAGAACGATGAATTTTAAAATGATACTCCCTCCGTATTTTAAAGGTTGCTACACTTCTCTTTTTGGGATGTATTTAAAAGTTTGCTACACTTTCTCTTTTTTTGTAAGTTTTTCCTTTAAAAATACACAACTACCCTTACTTTTTCGAGATTTTTTCCGTATTAATGTTAATTAATTAATTAATTAATTACGAAAATGGGGTTGGGTTAAAAGTATTTACCAAAATACTGCTGATTTAACCATGGTCGGGGAAAGTCGCCTAACGGTTGGGCGACTTATAAGTCGCCAAACGGTTTGGCGACTTATAAGTCGCCCAACCGTTGGGCGACTTTCCCTTATGTAAAAATCGGGTCACGCCCCAAAACAGAACCCTGCGTAAACATCACTCCCCAAATCCCCCGAGGCGCACCGACGACAGACGAAGGAAGAAGACGACCGAGCTCCTATCCAACTCCGGCGAAGCTCCATCTCTGGCTTCCCCACTCCGGCAAACCTTCATCTTCTTCTGCAACACTCCTTCTTTCTTCTAGGTAAATAAAACTCCATTTCATCTCATTTTGAACTTAAGGTTTTGAATGTTAAAAATTTCGAATTTTTGGATTATGAATTGATTGTGAATTAAGTTGTTGTGAAATTTGGATATGTATGAAATGTTGAAATTTGATTTTAAATTGATTGTAAATTTTAATGTGTATTTTGACATTTGGGCATTTGGGTAAACTTGAATGTAGCTAAATTTGGGTATTGAAAGGTAGACGTGAATGTAGATATCAAAATTTTGGTAGTTTCATATTGAAATGTGAAATGTTTGTGAATTTTGAATTTTGGATATATTACAATTTTGGTAGTTTTTTCTATTGAAAATTTGAATGTGTTTAAAGTGTGTATATTGATGCCTACTCATGAATGTTGGACAATGAATTGTTATTAGAATATGGATTTCTCAAGCTTCCCAATCATATGTCATTGGGGAGGAAACTATTATGAGGATGCTGGGCAAATATGCCTTGAAGGTGGTAGAACCAGCTTTGTCATGGTTTCTCGTGGCGCTTGCATGCTGGAGATCCTTCAAAAAATACATGCAGCCACAATGATTCATCCTAGCCATTCTTTGCGGTTGAAAATGAAATTTTCCATGAACGGGGGAAAGTACATGCTTATGCCCTTCATTCATGAGCTAGCTATAACAAATATGTGGGGCATAACTCAGATGGAGGATATGTCGACGCTTGAGATATACATTGAGGAATCCTGTGACGCCTATGGTACTCAATCAACATCAAATGCTGTCGTATCTACACATGATGTCAATGCAGGGGTGAATGCAGGGAACTCCTCTAAGGCTCCTGTACTGGACATGGTTATATAGGAAGATGGTAGGTATTTGCACAATGGTGCATCATTTGTGGATGGGCAAGGAAGTGATGATGATGCTGACGAGAACATCAATGGTGATGACATGACAGAATCTGATGAAGATGACGGTGATACTGTCACGAAAACTGTCCCGTCTAGCCATTTTACTAGAATGTATGATCTCCCTGAAGGGTTTACTGATGCGTGGATGAGTGGATCAGGTGAGAAAAGGTTTACCCCCGATGGTGAGTTTGAGGTCGGTCAACAGTTTGACAACAAAGAACAAGTCATCAATATGGTGAGCTTGTATTCTATCAAACGAAACCAATTTTATCGGGTGATAGAGTCCGATAAACACAAGTGGGTGGCACAATGCAAAAGGAAGAAAGAATGTGATTGCCCCTGGAGAATACGCACCACAAAGAACAAAGGCAACCTTGACACCTTCACAATTGTGCGTTATTCTGGACCTCATTCTGCTACGTGCGTTGGCAACACCGACACTACCGATCACGTGGCTTTGACTTCAGATTTCATCTCTAAAGATGTGATAGACATTGTTCGCACCGATCCTTCTCTTAAAGTGCATACTAGCATTGAGATGCTGAAGGAAAAATATGGGTATACGGTATCATACCGGAGAACATGGATGGGGAAGCAAAAGGCCATAGCAGAAATATTTGGCAGTTGGGAGAAGTCATATTCTGAATTGCCCCGTTTCATGACAGCGCTCCAACATTCAAATCATGGGACTATTGTTCAATGGTACCCACCCCCCAATACTCACACAGGTTATATGCAGTTTCAAAGAGTTTTTTGGGCCTTCAAGGCATCAATACATGGTTTTAAGCATTGTCGACCCGTACTTACTATTGATGGCACACACTTGTATGGAAAGTAAAAGGGTACATTGCTCGTGGCCATGGGTTGTGATGCGAACAACCAAATATTTCCAGTGGCCTTTGCAGTTGTTGAATCTGAGAATGGAGATAGTTGGCCATGGTTTATGGCATGTATTAGGCAGTTTGTGACTAACAGGGAGTTGTGTGTCATTTCAGATAGACATGGAGGTATTGTCAGGGCAATGAATGAGATGGGCAGTACTTAGGAGGAGCCTTATGCGCATCATAGGCTATGCATCCGCCATCTTGCATCAAATGTGCACACTCATTTCAAAGACATTCATCTAAAAAAAACTTTTTGTCTGGACCGCACGACAACATCAGAAAAAGAACTAATACAATTTTTGTTTGTTTGTAGGCATGGAGGTGACAGCGGATCCTGGGCCGAGTGATCGTTCTGTCCTGACATTGCAGGCCTCACACAGGAGTGAGGATGTTTGGCTTGGCATGGATGTTCAGGTGGATAGGTGCCGCGAACACCTGCGGGGTTTGTCGCATTTGCACGTCGACGACGGAGTACTAGCCTATGTTGGTGCTGCAGGTTTTTATACTCTTCACAGATTAGTGGCTACTGTGCCTCTAGATAGAGCGCTTCTCACTGCTCTACTTGAGCGTTGGAGGCAGGAGACACACTCATTTCACCTCCCTGTCGGTGAGGTGACAGTGACATTGGGAGATGTTGCTGTACTTACCGGGTTAGAGGTTCATGGGAGAGCTGTTACAGGCACTGCTTGTCGACAGTGGGTGGATGAAGTGTGAGCGGTTGTTAGGTATCCGCCCCATTCTTAAGACTGACCTTCAGGGGTCATCTCTGAGGATGCCATGGTTGAGGGAGCACTTCCAGGTGCTTCCTCCCGACGCTGATGAGGTGATGATCCAGCAGCATGCTCGGGCTTATATATTGATGATGATGGGAGCCTCCATTTTCGCTGACAAGAGCGGAAATTAGGTTCAGGTGCTGCACTTGCCTTTGCTAGAGAGGTTTGATGTAGCAGCACAGTTCAGCTGGGGTAGTGCCACCCTGGCTTATCTGTACAGACAGCTTTGTCGCAGCTGCCAGAGAGGGAGCACAGAGCTTGGGGGGTTTTTGCTACTCCTCCAGATTTGGTCATGGGAGTATATCCACATTGGGCGTCCCATTATAGTCGGATATCATGGCATTGATGGACAACCACTGCCTGATAAGCCTCCACGTCTTCTAGGACCACATCATGTACGGGGCGAGGACCCTCTAGGCCGTCGGTATGTTTTCAATCGTTTGTATTTATTTGAGTGTATGTTGTGTGTAAATACATTAATAATATCCATATTAATGATACTGTTACATGAATGGTTAGATGGCTATATGCTGGTCTATCTCGCATGTCATCAGCTATTGGGCTCGGTGTGTATAGGGATGCATTTGATCGGATGTCTGAGGACCAGGTATGGTGTGGGTAGTATAACATTAACTATAATATGTATAGAAAATCTCCTAATTTTGTATGTTTATGAAACAGATTACATGGATGCCGTTTACACCTGAGATGTTAGCAGAGTTGCCCCCAGCTGGACGAGAGCATACTCACATATGGCGAGCATGTGTGCCGTTGATATGTTTTGACATTGTTGAGCTTCATTTTCCTGATAGAGTCTTGCGACAGTTTGGGTTTGAGCAGGTCATTCCACGGCCTATCGACACTTATGTTGAGCTGCATAGGCTGGATAGGCGTGGGAAGCATACAGAGGATTGGACACTCAGACATGTCCGATATGTGACTATGTGGGAAAGGAGAGCTGAGCTAGTTGTGGCTGGGACACCGACATATGTGCCATCTGTTTCAGGAGACTACATGGGATGATATTACAGCATCACTCGTTTGTTTGTGTCTCCTTCGTTCAGACTACCTACTCATCATTATGAGCCTAGCTCCTTGGCTTTGCATCTTACGGTGAGTATATTAGTAATTAGTAAAGTAAGTCATTTTATTTATGTAATATTTGTATGTATTTCAATGTAAATGTAATTGTGTTTCATATTTCAGACACGAGCTTTGCAGCGCATACATCAGCGGGCTACTACCACAGTGACTGATAGTCATGATGTGGACATGTATGGACAGGCTCTGACAGGCATTGTGTCCTTGTGTTCAGATGTGTTGGGGCGAATCGACTACGACCATCTTATACACATGCCCCCATCTCAGGAGATGCCATCCATGTCTAGTTCAGCGGCGGCTTCATCATCCCAGACGCAGCATGAGAGAGTGGTTCTTCAACCACGACAACGGCGTAGGCGTAGACATGAGCAGCAACATCTCCATGACGAAGCTGACGATGGGAACTTGTAGTTTGTCTTTTGTATTGTAGTTTTTCTTATGCAGTAGATGTTGTAGGAACAATTTACAACATTTGACGTATTTTCTCTTGTAAAGTCTTGTATGTTGTCTTGATGTGTTCGAGTATGAATATTAGATGATTACTTGTTATGAATATTGGATGATTGTACTGTGTTATACCGGTTATGAATGGAAGGTTTTGTATTTGATTTGTAAAGGGTATTTTCAAGGTGTTTTTTATGTTGATGAGAGTAGGTGTTATGTATGTGATTGTGAAGACGTGTGTTGTATGTTTTATAATGTGTTGTATCTGGCTCGTAACACTTAAACAGGAGAAGAGAGACCTTATTTATAGCAAACAGATGAGTCTGGGTTAAACTGGGGCAAAAAACCTGCTGAAATGCTATTTTCGGACCTAGGCACGATCGTGCGTCCCAGGGTACGCACGATCGTGCGTGGCTGGCAGTAGCTGCACGCCTTCAACCATATTTCAGGGGTAAGTCGCCCAACGGTTGGGCGACTTACACCTTACCGTGGTTAATCCTAGCATTATATTGGTAAATACTTTTTTTCCAGCATTATTTTCGTGATTAATTAATTAATTAACATTAATTCGAAAAAAAAGTCTACTTTTTCTACTTTTTATCTTCTCTTTCATACGCTTACACACTCTCTCCTACTTTTTCTACACCATTCATTACCCCTACTATTTCATTCTTAAATAATGTTCCCATGCTATCGTAGTGAACATATAAATACGGAGGGAGTATTAGAAATTTAGAATGATAGAAATAGAATAAGTTTCAAAATAAATGAGAATGATAGCATGAGGTAAAGATTTTTTATCAAAGTACTGGTTTATAAAACCTCTAATATTAGAATGTTCCTAAAAATTTCGAATTACCAAATAATGGTAAAGAGATACCTAATATAATGTTAGAAGAAGAACTTGAACAGCTATTTAAATTTTAGAAGAGGAACTTGAAGAGATACCTAATACCTGTATTTGCTCTATGTCACAAGGTCAAAGCCTACACTTGCCCTTAGCTTTTCATCTAAATATCTTGTTGCTTCATTTGCATCACCTTGTATACGCAGAGCATTAATCAAAGAAGAATAAGTAATCACGGAAGGGGCAATCCCCTCTTTTAACATTCTGCCTTTCAATCCAAGGGCTTCCCTTGTATTACCATTTTTGCAGTGCCCCTCAATCAAAGTATTATAGGTTATAGCATTGGGGGTTATGCCTTTTGAGCGCAGCTTATGAAAAAGTTTCAGTGCTCTATCAAAATGTCCAGTTTTACAAAGTCCGTTGATGAGAGCATTATATATAGCAATGTTAGGAACAAGATCCTTTTTAAGCATTTCGTCTCGTAATGCGAAAGCCTCATCAACATTACCAGCTAATGATACACCATGTATCAAGGTACAATATGTAAACTCATCTGGTACAAAGCCTTTTTTTATCAAAGCAACAATCATTTCTCTTGCATCACTTATCCGACCAATTTTGCATAACCCTACCACAGCAAGATTATATAGAATGGTATTGGGCACGACAGAATATTTTGACCCCTCATCAATGGAATTTGCAATCTTTCGAACATCTAATGATATGAAGTGGGGAGTTGAAAAGTCATTAAGACATTTAAGTTTCAGACTATTATCAATGCTCAATACTTTTTGCAACAACATGAATGCATCATTAGTCATGCCATGTCTATATAAGCCACTAATAATTGTGCTGAATATGATCTCATTCGGAATCAGTCCCTTACTTGTCATCCCACAATATGAATCAAAAGCTTTGTCAAGCTTCCCTTCCTTAACCCATCCGCTAATAAGGGCACCGTACGTAACAACGTTGGGCAGTATTCCCCTTGTGTGCATTTCATTGATAAGATCTTCAACTTTATTCAACTTCCTAGCCAAAAAACATCCAGTAACCAGAGAATTGTACATTTCAATAGAAGGGAGGCTTCCTTGCTGTTCCAAGACTTTCTTTACCCTCAAAGCTCTTTCGGTTTGTCCGTCTTTACAGTAACCTTCAATTAAGGCTCTATAAGTAATCACATCAAGTGAACAGCCAAACTCCTTCATTTTGTCAAGAAGCTCTTCTGCTTCAATCATTTTTCCCATCCTACACAGTCCTTGAACCATTGTATTGAAAAGAATTGTGTTTTTATTAAACCCTCTAGCCATAATGTGTTTATACAACACTGTAGCTGTTTCAAACTCATTGGCCTTAATAAGCCCAAGAAAAAGAGTACCACAACTAACCTCATCAAATGAAATACCTCTTTCAAGCATCATATGCCAGAGATCCAAAGCTTCACTGATAGCACCGGATTGACAAAAACCATTCAAGAGAGTATTGTATGTTACATGTGTTGGTTCAATACCAACTTGAATCATTTCCTCACATAGGTTCAATGCTTCACTTTTCAAACCACCCCTGCAATACCCATCTAATAAGGTATTATAGCTATAAGAATCTGGTCTCACACCCCATCCAACCATCGTCCTTATTATGTCTTTGGCTTTATGAAGTTGACCGAATTTGCAATAACCATTTATAAAAGAGTTGCAAATAAATAGGTTTATTTTCAAGCCTAAGTTTATCATCTCATCACGAAACCTGAGGGCTTCATCTAGTCTCCCGATTTGACAAAACCCGTCTATTAATACACCATAGACCTGCTCATCCACAACTAGTGCATCGTTTTCTGGAACCTCCATTCCTCGGAATACTTTCTCTGCTTCCTCCATATTCCCCTGCCTGCAATGTCCCTTGATTAGCAATGTATATGTCAAAATGTTCTTGGATATTCCTCTTTCAATCATTAATCTCAAAGCTCTTTCAGCTCCCTTCAAATCACCCTTCTCAACATACCCATTGATCAAACAATGGTAAGTAGCTCTATTTGCATCTAAACCCATTGCATCCATTTTATGAATAAAGTCCTCAGCTCTTTCAACTCTACCATCCTTACAGTAGGCATTTACTATTGTTGTGCAAGTGTATATGTCCGGAGAAATTCCAATTCTAATAATCTGATCATAAACACACAATGCAGTATGATATTCACGTTTTCTCACCAAACAACTCAACAAACTATTACATGAGAGTAAGCTCGGCATACAGCCACTCATGGGCATATTATCGAACACATATAAAGCATTCTTAATTAACCCCTTCTTCGCATAAACTTTAAGAACCATATCAAAAACTGTCCGAGAAAATTTGAATTCTTTATGAACTCTAACTAACCGGTTCCAAACAAGCGACGTTGGTTCATTTTGACTGGAGAGTTCCACAAGCTCATCCAAGAGAAATCGTGTCTCCTCGAACATTCTAGCTTTAGACAATATGTGAACGATTATGCAATAAGCTGTGAAATGGGGTCTGTAGTACTGCTGCTTCGAGGCTAGTTTAAAGAAATAGTGGGAAGCTTCCGGGTTGAACTTGAGTTTCCTGAGAACGGCCTCAACGAGGGAGTTGGAAAAATCAAATTTGAGGCTGTCCAGGGCGTCATAGCGCCGGAGAATTAACAGGCGACAAATCTGGTCGAGGAGCTCGAATTGAGTCAGTTGGGGCTTAAGTCGGAGCAGTCGACTGTTAATTGATGCTGTCTGAATGGCGGCCATCTGCTGCTCGATTGGAGAGGGAAGAAGAAGAAGAATGAGCAGTTCAGCCTGAGCCTTGCTCGGTGTGACGAGCATTCCATGAACGCTGCAGAGGAGTTCAGAACAGTTAAAATTCCACATATGCGGAGACTATTGGGGCTTTGTTCTTTCTAGGGTGGGGTAGGCAAAATCTAAAATAGATATCTATCCTTATCTAAAAGGAAAAGAAATTCGATGGACATTATTCCCGCCCAGAACCCTCAACTTCCATGTGTTAATTTTTTAATTCCTTTAAGAGATAATAAATCCAGCTAATGAATTGGAAGTTATGGGTTCGGATAAAAATTGATTTTTTCTGGGAAAGACAATCCTATTGGCCGAGAATTGAGGTGGGTTGGTAACCAAATGAATTCAGGCCTCCTATTGGTTAATATTGTGGTGGCTACTGTACATAAACTTTGTGACCTGATTTGGCCGGTTGGCTTTGTATTGGTAGAAAGGGGCGGGCAAACAGTGCGAGGTATGGGGCAAGCAGTTTTTTTGTAAATCACACGTACATGTTGGCCCATAAAAGCGCAGCTTCAGATACCATTTTTCTTCATCGTTCTCAAGTCCCGCTATGATACCCCATAGCAATAAAAAAATATCTAAACATGGTTGGCATGCGGTCATTGTTTCGGGAAATTGACCAAAGCAGGACTGACATCTATCACATTCGACACCTGCGGAGCCGGAAGATCCACCGGCTGCGCTTCCCTCACCGAATCTGCCGAGGTCAACGACGTCGTTTCCATCTGCAAGTGGGTCGTCGGTAACCTCTCCGCGAGCCGCATCGTCGTTGTAGGATCCACCGCTGAAGCCGCATTTGATAAGGTGGAGGAAGTAGTGGGCTACGTCAGCTTAGGGTACCCTTTCGGATTCACCGCTTCGGTTCTGTTTGGAGGGCACCAAAAAGCCGTATTGCCATCCCTAAAGCCGAAGCTCTTTGTGATGGGGACCAAAGATGGGTTCACCAGTGTGGGGCAATTGGAGAAGAAGCTGAAGAAAGCTGCGGGTGAGAGTAACCAAACGCATCTCCTTGAAGGAGTCAGCCATTTTCTGATGGAAGGTCCTGCTTTTGATGCTCAAATGGTTGATTTGATTCTTTAGTTCATTACATCATTGTGATGCTATTCTTATTCATCATAACATCTCTTTTAATATACGAGTATAAAATTTGTGTATCAATTGTATATCCTAGATGAGTTTATGATTTTGCATTTTGTTAGAACTTTAAGATAGTTCCAAATAGAAGTAAGGCAGTGTTATTGTTGAATCAGTCATAGAATAAATATAAGTATGATCTAAATAGTATTCTATATGAAATACTCCAAACAATTTTAGAAAAGTGAATTTATGTGTTTAATATTGAATTAATAAAAGTAAAAATAAAGAAATGCAAACATTATTGGGAAAGTCTTATTTGGAGTCTTATTGGAATAGATAAAAAGGGAAAGAACAATCATATTTGGATAGAAGAAGTATAATACTCATATTTTAAAACCTTTTTTAACATTTTTTTACTCCCTCCGTATTTTTTTGTTTGCTACCATAGGTGTTGACAAATGTTTTAAGAGTGAAATAGCAAGGGTAATGAATAGTGTAGAAAAAGAAGGAGAGATGGTGAAAAAGTATGAAAGAGAATATAAAAAGTAGAAAAATTAAGTGTAGTTGAGTATTTTTAAAGAAAATATTTACCAAAAAGGGAAAATGTAGCAAATTTTTGAATACGGAGGGAGTATTTTTATCATTTTAAATTATAAGTATAAAGAAAAACATATGTATAAATAAACGGGTGTCAGTGTCGGACAAAAGGTATTAATTCCGAGGTTATCCTTGACCCCCTCTGATGCTAACTTACCGTTCAGGTTTCAGAGACGACATTATTGTGACTTCCTATGCTATGACTATAAATAAATGTCAAGGCCAATCTTTGTCTCGCGTGGATTGTTGTTAAAAAACCTGTATTCACTCACGGACAATTTTATGTTGCGGTGTCAAGGGTTACCGATCGTCGTGGTTTGAAAATTTTAATTTGTGATGAAGATGAAGGGGCCACAGATGTGACTCAGAATGTTGTGTTCAAAGAAGTTTTCAACGTGTAGCATTACATTATATATGTTTATGTGATGCTATTCTCTTTGTTTATATTATTACTTGCCATTTCACCAGTACTTAGTACTCCCTATATGTAATTACAATAATATGTATGCCGACCTACGTTTATTTTTAGATCATTCATCTATGTGTTCATCTTGAAGTTGTCAATATTACAACACCACACATTTTGTTGTCAAACAATTACATCTTTTTAGTTGTTTGCCGATCTACATTTGAAAATACAATTATAAACCGTGCATCGCACGGGTGAATTACTAGTTACCCAAAATAGGACTAAAACAGTTAGAAAATTCCAAAATAGGATTTCTAAGTTTTTATTCCCGAATAGGACTAATTACTGTCATGTTTTGACAGTACCAGACTTTAAACATGGCAGTATTTTCCAAGTTTGGCATTAATTAGTCCTATTTTGGGAATAAAAACATGACAGTCCTATTTTTGAATTTCGACGAGCAGTCTTGGAGGTCGGAAACGGTGCAGTCGTGAATGGTGATCGGGGCAGAAGGGGAGGAGCTGGACCTTGATGAGTTTGAAGCTGAGGGAGCTCTGGTGGAGGCGGGCTTGGCGGAATTTCCGGTGATCGGCCAGATACTGACGGACAGAAAAGTCAGATTCTCGGATCTTAAAGAACTGATGTTATCGTTGTGGAGGCCGGGGAAGGGAATGTCAGTCAAAGAAGTTGGTGAAAAAATGTACTTATTTACTTTCTACCATCGTTTTGATATGATGCGTGTGCTTGAAGGAGGGCCATGGCAATTTGAACGTAGTCTGCTATTGTTGTTAAAAGAAGTTAAACATGATGATATACCACATAAAATTGTTTTAAATGAGGCTGAATTTTGGGTTCAGATTCATAATGTTCCATATAGCCTAGTGAATCTGGGTACTGCAAGGCGTGTGGGAAACTTTATTGGGGAATTTATCAAATATGATGACAATCAAAAGAGTGAGAAGTGGGAATCGTATATGAGGGTTAGGGTGTCTATGAAGGGGGATAAATCTGAGAAAAAAGGGACGAATTTGAAAAAAGAAAGGAAAAGTTTTTGAGTAGATTTCAAATATGAAAGATTGCCCAACTTCTGTTTCATATGCGGGTTCATTGGACATTCAAATAAATTTTGTCCTTTAAATTATGAAGAAGATTTAGTTTTAGAAAAAAGATTTGGAGTCCATCTTAGAGCAGGAAGTGGGGTGAAGACCAGTCCTACAGGAGGTGGTAAATGGCTCCTAGAGGGCTCATCGAGCTCTGGCAGAGAGCGTGGATATACAGGGGATTACATGTCTGAGGAGAAGATGATTGCAAGAGAAAAAGAGTCAATGTTAGAATCAGCCCAAAGCATCACCAAAGGCGCAGGGGTGGACTCTAAGGAAGAGATTTCGGGGGAACAAAAGAGAAGGGGGATCTGGGAGTCTCAGGCAGAAAATATGAAGGGGGAGACAACATGGCTTTGGACGGGACAAAAAACGGGGAGGAGGCGGGCTTTGCTCTTTGAGCCCTCCGCAACAATTGAAGTCAGTTTGGAGGCAGCAAGTTCGAGTGATTGTGCGGATTAGCAGACTTGGACAGAGGATTTATTTTATCTGTTTTGTTTTTTATTCTAGTGACTTCTGTTTCTGTTTTGTTATTTAATTTGCTTCGTTTTTATTGTTCATGTGTGTAAAACGATTGGTTTGGAAGTGGGTGATGAGAGGATTACGATAACCGCCTTTGGCTCATTTGTGTCCATTTATGGATCAGCGAATTATATTGCTTCGTTGGAGGTGATTAATTTTGAGTCTGGTTCGTGGGACGACAGTTGCCAGGAGTCTTTTTATCGGATTACCCATACTCTGAATTATGTGTTATCTATATAAGGCTATTTCTTCCACACACAAATATATATATATATATATATATATATATATATATATATATATATATATATATATATATATATAGGGGAAAGATCAAGTACAAAGTGTGTTTATTGTGCAAATATTTGTACGATGCACCTTGACGTTAATTGCATTGCATATTGAGGTTCAAAGTATTGCACATTATAAAGTCATAAAAATAGCAGTTGCACATTAAAGTGCAACGAGTTGCACCCTAAAAAGTTGAGTTTTATTACAAAAATGCCACCTTGCCTTTATGTCCTTTGGATCAACTCATCGGACGGTCAAGATGAGTTTGTACTTTGTAAATTAAGAAGGCTTTGTATTTGATCTCTATTCTATATATATATATATATATATATATATATATATATATATATATATACTTCTTCCATCTCGCTAATATTGTCTCATTTTACCATTTAAGAAACTATGACATTAAGATTGTCTCATACCAAATTTCATAAAGTTCGTGAAGTTCTAAATCATTATTACTTAATTTATTATTACTTTATCAATTCAATATCAACCACATAAACCTACATTTCTTAATAATCGAGTCACTTCCTCTTGTGCCAATGTTAGTGGAACGGATCCAGTACTATTTTATTAATTAATCACTATGTATAATGTTTTGTTTAATTCTTAATTGTAAAAAAACTAATGTTTGATACTAGATTATTATTAGTAAGATATTGATATTTGATATTTGTGATTTAATTAAGTAAAAAACTTATAAAAACATTTTTGTCACTTGCTATAATACTAATATGGTAATATTTTAAATTGTAATTTACATTTTTTTTTGAATGCCAATAATATTTTGATGTTATATTATTTGTTACTTTTGTTGGTAATCACACAACTCTTTATTACTAAAAATATGTATTAATCAAAACTATATCTAGACAACATATATATTATTCATTTATTTTCAAATAACTACCCACAAAATTTGAAAGTAGAATAAATATTTTGAGTTATATTTACATAAAACACAAAACATAGTAACAAAGAAAATGAATCACTAAATACAATCGTGAGACTACACTATATATTTCGTATATAAACTTATGCGTGTAATTGTTTAAGGAGATATACTTTCTAATTCATTGTTTGGAAATGTTTTTGTTTCTTCTCACTTTGTTATTTTTTTTTTTTGTATTATATTACTACTGTTGTACTGCATATTAATTATTGTTCGATGTATTTT